AAAAAACTCAATAAGCAGGGTTTGTACATTTTATTATCAGCTGAGCTGTGATGAAAAGAAAAATACCGTCAAATACCGTGAAACCWGTGAAAATGTTGAAAATACTGTGATATAAAATTTTGATCATATCGCCCAGCTCTACCTCATAGGCTACAATCGCAATCGTGATGAGGTAAGAAAGAAAGCAGACACATGAAACCCATGACGGTAGCGTCATACTAGCATGGCATGAGCGTCCAGCATGTGGCTGCATCCTGACACTGTCAGAGAGTCATGCCAGAGGTGACAGAGAGAGAGAGGTCAGGGTGACGCTCAGTGACACGAAGGATAGCAGGAAGCAAATGTTGTAAGATCTGTAGCACTCAGGCTGTGTGTTACAGTTTGGTTTCTATACAAAGTGAGACATAAATACAGCACTTGAAGCACTAAATGTCACTTTTATATAAGAAACTTCAAAAAAACTAAAATTTTATGTTTCAATTTTAAAGGGGATTTTTTTTGCCCTTATTGTGTACTTGGAGTCTCTAGGAGTGCAAAAAAGTTTAATTTAGTTCCGGTGCTGCTGTAGATATCTTTATGTTCTGTTTGGATCATATTTTTGAGTCCATTAAAGTTTCTTTATGCCCCGTTATGTTTTTTTGCACAATAACATCCAACCATTTGCTGTGGAACTGCTAAATAAGGTCATTCCAGTTATGCAAATCTGGGGTTTTATAGTTTTGTCGTCTTCGTTCTCCTCTGGCTCTGGGTCAGACTCTGGCTCCAACATGTGAAGCTGAATGGACAAGTCTTCCATTTTTTAAAACTTTTAATCAATTTGTAAATAAAACGTTTCTGCGCCGTCAGTCATATGGCTGAACGGGGACGAAGCGCCTCGTTTGCATTTAAAGAGACAGCACCAAAACGAGTTGCTCAGACGAACCTTAGAACAGGAGTGAAAGAGGGGCTTGTGGAGTTACAATAAGGAGGAATTCAGACCAAAGCATTGCAGTTCCACTTCATATAGACACGACTGAATGATTTAAATGTGAAAAAGAGATTTAAAAGCATGATATGGCTCCTTTAAGTAGTAGCTGCAACAGTTAAAACATCAGAAAGTTCTGAAAACTATGTCAGATAAGGCCGAGTGATTAAAAATGTTCCGTATAGTTCCATAACTGAATTAAAACCTCTACTCCTGTGATAACCTCCACAGTATAAGCTTCATAGTGGTGTTCTTGAACAGGCTGCAATCCCTGGCTCAGGTTCAAAGTGCAGCATATTGTTTGCACACAAAACACCAACAATCCTTTCTCATCGCTTTAAGTTCTGTTGCACAAATAAATCTCGCATGCATTAGCCAGACTGACTAGACATTTTAGGGTGGATTTATTCACGAAATAAAGCACTTAGCTGACATTTCTTTGCTGAGATATAAAGACAGCGAAAACATTGACACTCTGGACTACAAGTATGTTTTTTCGACATCCTGTCGCCTACTTTTGCACATGAAGGACACATTTGCAAGTCAAAAAGTAACTAGGCAACTTGTACTGCTGCTGCAATATGTCCTACAGCACTGGCTAATTCTTTTTTTTTTCACGACTAACACTCCTATACTGTATTATAAAACCATAAACATGTATTATACTTCTAAACCAAGAGACCCCACCTCCTGTTTTTGCAGGACACGTATGGAAGCTGCCATGTTGGGTTTTCAAGACTAAAGTTTGTGCAAGAACAGTGTTATGTAGCTTTTCTTTTGAACCTGAACTACTTACAGCTAAATGTGTTCGAAATATTTATATTTAACTTCCAGCAGCAAGGAAGAAAAACTTTGCAACCAGGAGTCAAAAAATAAATAAAAATAAATCGGAGGTACATTTTTTTTGTAAAGGCAAGCTGCGTATACAGTATTTGAATAAAAACTAAGCTCTCATGACTTTTATTGCCTCTTTTGGCTCCTCCTCTTCTTAATCTTCCCTTCTTATCAAACTCTTCACAGGCTGCTCTGAATGATACAAAAATATAACTCACTATCGGAGGTTTAAACCAAAAACTGCTGTTGAACATATTGTGCCTCCTCCACATCTCTGCCTTTTCTGCTTCCTAAACAACCCCCTTGTGGCAGAACATGCGATTCGAGTTAAAAATAGCTACCTAATAAGATAAACACTGGAGCTCTCTCCAAACCTTGAGCCAGAAGACTGCGTGTGCATTTGTGTCGGATGGTTTCCTACGTGCATTTAAAGACTGATTTGTTTTTGGTCAAGCTTAGTGAAAAAGTCTCGCTGGACTTTAAAGGAAAATATTAAAGAGAGGATTTAGGAGCACAGACAGGGCAGGGTGTGTGGCATTCTGGTCCTTTTAGTGAAAGCAAGAAGAAAAGTTGGTTTATGTTCTGGTTTTATTGATATTGATTCTCGCACACTTCTGAGATTCTTGTTGTCACACTAGTACTAACTTCAAATCTGTTATTTCTTCTTTCTTTATTGTCAAGATTTAAAAAAAAAAACTATCTTCCCTCCCACTCAGACAGTCAGATGCCAGGAGTCGAGGACAATGGGTTAAAATGTTCCAGCAGCTCAGATGCTTTGCAAGTCAAGCTCAAAAATAGATTCGTAGCAGTGGGACTACAATGAGCCGCGGCTGGGATCTGAATGTTTGTGTGCGTTCAAAGTGACCTGCTGGGACCGTTTAAAGTCCAACTGTCCCCACAGCGACGTTCAGAACGTTGAACACAGAGCTGTGGCACAACTTCCTACCATGGCCCGAAGCGCACACCAAAACATAAATTTTGTTCTAACGTGCTGCTTTTTAAATAAAGCTTGAATTTACACTGATCCGTTTTCTCAAATCTTAGAGAAAGTAGTGAATCTGTAGCAGGTAAGCCACGTCTCAGCCAGATGATTTTATTGGAGCTACTTAATGTTTCTTGTGCAGCTCTGTGATAAATCTTGTACCAGCAGGAATTGAATTTGAATTGCTCAGATTGAATCCGAATGTGCATAATTTGAAAATGAACGCATTGGTTTGAAAATGAATTTTACTCAATTGAAACTGAATTTAAAGTTTTGAATTTGATCTAATTTGCTTTGAAACTGTATTTTGGTTTATTAAAAATTCAGTTCGACTACTTTCACGTTCAGTTCCAAAATTCTGATTTTTGTGTCACACATCCTGGTCATTGAGAAAGCCAGGCTGAGTAATCAAACACAGATCCACAGATTTATGTTTCACTTTGTGAAGTTTCCCTTCTAACAGAGTTGATGCAATCCACCGTAACAAAAACAGACCTATGTGATGAAAATGTTACATTTACGTCACATTATGGATCAGTCAGCCGCAGCATCTGATCAATATGTGATCCATGATGTGATGTAAATGTAACATTTTCTACATATAGGTCAAATTAATCACTGCAATAAAATAACTGTCTGTTTTTGTCACTTTTACGGTGGATTGCATCAACTCTGTTACATTACAGAAGGGAAACTTCACCAAAGTGAAACATAAATCTGTGGATCTGTGTTTGATTACTCTGCCTGGCTTTCTCAAGGACCAGGATGTGTGACACAAAAATCTGAATTTTGGAACTGAACGTGAAAGTAGTCAAACTGAATTTTTAATAAACCAAAATACAGTTTCAAAGCAAATTAGATCAAATTCAAAACTTTAAATTCAGTTTCAATTTAGTAAAATTCATTTTCAAACCAATGCATTCAATTTCAAATTATGCACATTCAGATTCAACTCCTGCTGGCACAAGATTGATCCCATATGCTGTTCTCTAACAGTATGTTGGCCTTTTCTGAAATGACACTCTCTGCCCTGCACATGTACATGTGCAGCACAAAGGCGATGCTTCGCTTCTTGAGCAGCAGTGGAGCTCAGAGGAAAAGACTGCAGTGCTGACGAAGCAGCTGGATGGGCACATAAATATCAAGGAGGGCAGTTTTATCTGCGATGCACCAGCAGTCGAACTGCTGCACAACTCCCTAGAATATGATAACCTATTTAACTTGGAAAAAAAACTGTGTTTTGCTTTACCGTTATGTAGCAGATCTAATAACTTTTATTGTTACGGAACGAAATGTTTCTATTTTCTCTGTGAATGCACTCATTTCTGTAATGCCACTGAAATGCTATTGAATTTTATTAAAACAAAACAATTATTTTAACCACAAGGATGAACTGACTGGTTATTATCAAATTCATTTAAATAGGTCTGAATAATTATTTTTCATTGATAAAAAAACTTACACATTATATGAAATATATTCCACTTCTAATGTTATTAAATACCCCAAAGCAAAATATATTAATTTATTTTAATTTAAACAGTTTATTCAGTCATACTACATAATAAAACATAGTACATAATAAAAAAGGTAAATAGTAGGTATTATCATTGTACACTGAGGCCTTTGTGTTGTGTATTTTGTTGCAATACTTTGTGATTGATTTACTGTTGAATGACAACTCTGTTGTTGTTTTTTTGAGTGTATTTATAACTTGTGTGTGTATGCGTGCGTGCGTGCATGTGTGTGTAGTTTACGTGGCATTCAACGAGGTGCAGCAATTGCAAGTTTTGACAGTCCTAACTTCTGCTGTCACTTCCGCAAACCACTCGAACTTCCTGCTTACCTGGCTGCTCCCTCAGAGCCATCATTGACACGATATAGTGCGCCATGTCGAAGTAAGGAAACATGGACAAGTCTGCCAGTCCGTGAGACAGCCCGTCCATCATCCTGAGCAAATCCATTATTATTATTATTATTATTATCTCCACAGCAGGCAGCTTTGCTAGTTCATTCCGATGAGGAGACGAGGAAAAAGCCACCGGTCCAACGGCGGAGCATCAAAGCTTTCATCCACGGTCTGTGAAGTCCGACTCAAGCCGAAGGAGGCGGGGGACACGACAGCTGTGTTTGAGCCGAGCTACAGCTACTAACAGCTGGCTAGTTAACGTGGAGGATGACAGTTCGTCACTGGGCAACAACCCTGTGTTACTACGGGCTGGTCATCAGCCGTCACTGTCAACCGCCGCGTGCATTGGCGGAATTCCTGCTCCACTTCCGCCATGCTGAGGATGCAGTGGGCGGGGCCACAAACGAGAGGGAGGTGATGGGACAGCAAGTAGTCCCACTTTATTTGTTGGTGCTTTGGGCATTTTTCTGTGTTTAAATGTTTCTTCTTCCTTTTTTTTTATTAAACGTTTTGTGTGTGATTGTGTACTTTTATTTGTGTTAGACAGTATTTTCAACTGTGCAAGACACAAGTTGGACTTGGAAATGTAATAATGCAGTTTACAGCTAATAATGTCACATATTTTGCCACCATCCATCCATCCATGTATTTTTTTTACTATACTTAAAGAAAATTTTTGGATATATGTACTTTACTTGAGTAATTAWTTTTCARCCTACTTTTTACTCCTACTTCTTACATTTTCACAMAATTATCTGTACTTTCTACTCCTTATATTTAAAAAGGCAAGATTACTTTTATTTCATTTTTCCATTTTTTCATTCCAGCTTGTTATTGTAAAAAATAAATACTATCCATATAAATTTTGCCTCCTAGATAGAGTGAAGTTAATTGTGGTTGAATGAGAAGTATAAATACATAAAATTCTGATACCGTATTAGTTTGTACACAAACAAATGTCACACTCCAGCAGGACATAATTATTAAAATAAAAGGACTGTACTTAAGAAGTATTTGTATTTCATGAACTATATTTTTGCATTTGGCTGCAGCTTTCAAATAGATTTTTATTTTGCGTAAAAGGTTTGGGCAGCCTTGATATATGTATTTAAAATGAAACAGACTAGTGCATCCTAAATTACGAGATAGCCATTTCTGCATTTGTTTTGGAGGGAGGTCACCTCCTAATAAATGTTATCATGGAAAATCTAACTACTCATTTTAAATTAATGTATTTACTTTTAATACTTAAGTGCAAAAATATCAGATACTTTATGACTTTTACTCAAGTACTATTCCTAAAGAAGACTTTAACTTTTACCAAAGTATTTTTTTGTAAGATACTTGTACTTTTACTCAAGTATCACTTTGTGGTACTTTATGCAACACTGGTGGTGTCACTGGCAGGAACTGCAGAAACATCTTTCCCACTCTCTTCAGCTCCTCCTGGGGGGGTCCCAAGTCATTTCCAGGCCAGAAAAGACCCATTATCTCTCCAACAAGGTCACCTCCCAGAAGAACGTGCTCAGAAAAACTCAATGGAGACACCCAGGAGGCATCCTAATCAGATACCAGAACGACTCCTTTTGATGTGAAGGAGCAGCAGCTTGACTCCCAGATGTTGGTCACCTTATCTCCAAGGCAGATCTGGCCACCCTGGGTAGGAAGTCCATTTCAGCTGCTTGTATCATGTATTTGTGTATACAGTATCTAATGGCCACAAGTGATTGCTGGAGTGTAGACAGGCTCTTTTTACACCACAACAGCCTCCATCCTGCCATCACTTGTGAAGAAGACATCCAGATAGTTGAACTTGCTTGAGGCAAAGACAAATCCCAGACCTACTGTGAACCATTCCAGTGTATGCTGGAGGTTAAGGTTTTATGCAGAGACAAGACGTTGAGGATCTTGGTGGCCTGGTTCTTGGGCATGCTGATTGCTGGTCATGAGCGTGGAAGTGGGGGGAAAGTGGACCTCAGTACCCAGGGCCCAAGAAGGGAGAGGGGCCCATGATTTTATTTTTAATTACTTTTCCCAAATGAAATGGGCCCTTCAATTAATTGGTGTAGTAATTTATTTCAAATATATTGATAACATAAACTGAGAGAATGAACTTTATTTTACTGTCCACACCATATTGGACATGGGGGTTCCCCCTCTTAGAGGCGCAAACTGGTTCAGTCCGCCCGACAGCAACCAGCAAGTGGTAACCCAGACACAGCTGAGCTGAAAGAGCTGCGGGCAGACCCGGACTGACAGGACTGAGAGGTTTCCCGTGGTCTGCCTGCTCAACTGGTTAAACGTTTCGGTCACTCTACAACTTTTAAATAAACAATTTGGTGTGGTCAGTGCGCCTCGTCAGAGCTCTCAGGTAGGACAGAGTGTCTCAGGTAAGAGATGAGGTGATGGACAGGTGTGAAGGAAATATAAAATGTTATTTTGAGTACATTCTAGTCAGTGGTGAGCACTTAATAAAATGAATTACTGATCTAGAACCACTAGAACCTTCCATAAAAACAAGCATTGTTTTAAGCAATTAGTTTACCATATAAAAGTAGATTTTTGTTAAATTAAATATAAAGCTTAATATCTGTTCCCTCTGAATAAGGACAACTAATAGTGCTTTTATAAATACTATGAACTATCTAAAAAAGAAATATCCACATTAAAACATTTCTGGAGATGCTACTGGTAGATATTTCAGTTACATATTATTTAAAAACGGATTATAATTTTGTAATTGAGTATGTTTTGCAACGTGTATGTTTATGTTATAAATTATAAGAGTGATAAAACACAACACTGGTGAGAATTAAACGTTTTAGAAGAATTTGTACTGTCATCTAGTATCCAGTAGGTGGCCGTGTGTGACCATCTGTAAAATAATCCACTGTTATCCCCCAATAATCTCTGGATATTATAGAACAATATGCATCCATCACCAGCAGCTGTCAACAGGGGAGTAATTTCACATCACATGCTGCCTTATTAAAAACAATAAATCAGAACGAGAAGATTACTTGTGGGAAACTACTATTAAAATTAGTCTGTAATTGACAAGAAGCAGCTAGTGACCATATTTTGATCTTTTTTTATTGTTATTTTTTTGAGCCCAGTGAGTGAAGCAGTTACTACAAAAGGTACCTGATCCTCTAGTTTAAGTATGAGGTGAAAAGCCCCATTAAGGTGTAATTGTAATAATTAATATGAACAATTCATGTTTTAAAAAGAGAGCACCATCATTTCAGGCACAATCAGATATTTAAACCATATAGTCACAGTGGTTTAGGATTAAACTCTTGTTTATCTTTGACAGCAGAAGCCATCTACTTGGGTTTTTGGGGTGCATCTCAAAGAATCAAGAGTTGAGTCTGGGGTTTTCAGAATAACTCTTTAAATCTGTCTTCAGCTGTCGAGCCTGTCAGCCTCACTTGACTTAAAGTTTCCAGCACATTTGCTGCCTTCCTTGTGGACTTTAGGCAGAGGTGAGGCCAGATGAGATTGCCCCGGTTGTTCCAGTAGTTTCACACCGATGTATTTCTTGGAACAGGAACAGCTTTTCTTGCATTCGTCAAACAATTGAAGGTCAAGCAAATAAAATGCTCGTGGAATTTGTAGACAATAACTTTGTACTTGTGAAAAAATGTGTTGGCGGCAAAAATAAACCACAACGTTTTGGCTTGTGAATCTATTTTCTAGTCATTTTCTATTCACACGAAGGGGAAAAAAATGCAATAAAAAGCAAACTAACACAACCTCTCTGCTCATGTCTAGGAATCATACGAATGCTCTTTCACCCCTGAAAGTAATTGCACAGCAACAACTGAAACTTTGTGACATGATCCCAGATAGAAGTCAGGTCAATGAGGTCAAAACAAAAACTTGTTTACTTATAAACACCCGTATACCTTTACAGCAGATGTGTTGGTTCTGGTTCAACAGGTATCAAACAGAGATTAAATACAACAGAATGATTTAGTTTAATTTAAGAAAAGAGTCAAAGACAAGACAGTGGGCAGCAATAAGCCACAGAAGACTGAAAAAAATTGAGTAAAACTCAATCTCTGTTTTTTATAGTACACAAGATATTGTTCAAGTAACTCAAATAACCTCTATAGCAATCATAACAACTGTAGCTAGTTAAACTACATTTACTGAAAGAAAAAAAGGTCAATCGGAATGTTGAGTGCTAAAATATCCTGAAGAAGATAAAACTGTGCTTAAAAAAGGCAGAACACCAGCTAAAACCCAAAAGAAACAAAGAGCATAAGCCAAAAGTACAAAAACATGAAGCTATCAAAACAGCTAAAAGCTAAAAACATAACGAGGTTGGTCAAAAACTAAATGTAGTTACAGGCAAACTAAAAGCCAAAAGGAGCTAAAAACTAACATGAGCAATACACAAGTTAAAAGCAACAAAACCTGAGCTAAAGGCTAAAATCAATACAAAAACATAGCTAAAAGCTAAATGTAGCTACAAGCAAACAAAAAGCCAAAAGAAGCTAAAAGCCAACATAAACACAAAAACAGCAAAACATGAGCTAAAAACATAAAAGGGTTAGCTAAATGCTAAAAATTGCCTAAAGGTTAAAAATAGCTAAATAGTTGCTAAAAGCAAGAAGACAAAATAGAGCACTGAAATGGATTTTAAATAGAACAATATTTGTGAAGTATTTTAAAAAAATCTTAGTATAGTTCCATAGGGAAAATATTTGAAAAAAAAAAAAAAAAAGAAAATGAAAACCCTAATTTGAAAAGCATAACAGTTACAAAACCTAAAAGTCCTGGTACTGATCTCCTGAGCTAAATGTTTCAATATATGAATGTCTAAAATAGTACAATACGCACTAGTAGTGAGATTTCAAAAAAGCATAGGCCCACCAAAAAATTTCAAAAACAAAAACAAACAAAAAAAAAACATTAGTGTATACTGACTCAGCAGCCACACAATCAGTGCAGATCGAATAATGTCATTAACATATCAATGACTTTTTTTCTGACAATGTCCTTTAGAGATTTGCCGAAACAGGAAAATTGGCCATTTTAACCAGTGTCCCTGTGAGATGTTTACATCAACATCTATCTCAAAACTGGTGACTGAGGTCAGGACACATGACACCTTCACATGTAAGTCCCCAGCAACGCAGCTTAAAACAGAAACTTGCTCCAAAACGCTCTGAAATAACCAGCGGCATTTTGTGGTCAAGTGACTGCAACATAAAACCAGTCACACAGAGAAACACCTGTTTAAAGAACACGACCCGAGTAACAACAATACAAGGCTACCTGGTTGGTTGTTTCATTTTAGATGTACTATCACATAAACCCATAAACAGTTATTGTTTGGTTCATATTTAGAAAATATCGTTAATAAATAAGATAGCAACAACATCACAGCAACAAACCCAAAACTTTATCTCTGAAGATGCCTTGTGATGCTTTATCCATTTTTCTGTAAAAAGATAAACTGGTGTGACTTCACTCATATGCTTAAGTCTCGTGGTGGAACTTCCTCAGTCGATAGAAAGGACGAAACATGGTTTGTCACGCAGAGACTCGCTTGCTTTTATTCTTTAAATGGTGTTTTTATAAAAACAGAAGTTCTGCCTTCACAATGACTATAGAGGTCAAAAGAGGTTCCAGCTCCTCCTCTCACTCAGACTCACAGAAAGTCACTGCGGTTAGTTCAAACCAGCAGACTGAAGGACTATTGATCTGGTTTTTATCGATTCATATTTAGAAAAGTCTACAATGAGCAAGTACTAATTAGGAGACATAAATCATATGAGCATGATATTTGGTCCTTTCATGGAAATTAAAAAAAATTTCATATTAGAAAACAAACCTTTTTTTTTCTTGTATTTAACACCTAATAAAAATATATTTCTGCTGAATGGATGTGCTGTCAAACTACATTCACAAACTGTATTTCTTTAAATGGCAAGTTTTGTATTCATCTCAGCTATTTTGTAACCTTACTATTGCACGATTGTGATGCAGCTTTCTGTTTAAACAAAATATTTCTCAAACAGGAAAGTGTGCAAACAAAAAGTCTGATTACATATGAAGTAGATGCAATAAAAAAAAACTTTATATTTTGACTGAAACCATAAATAAAATGTCTGAGTAAGTCTGCAAAACTATTTTGCTATCATGTTTAGAAATCAATGTAAAGCTTGGGGAAAAAAACTATATAGGACACTTCTCGTCAACTAATTAACTTGACAGGTGCCCCTCCCCCTTTTGACTGCTGATGAACGGAAGAGAGACAAGGCAAGTATAGAAAATAAATGGTTTAATCTGAAGCACAAAGTCCTGAGAGGACAGCAATTTTTACTTTAAAAATGAGTTAAACTAACAAAAGTCACTAAAATGTTGTTTTATTACTGAATGTTAGAAAATAACCTTTATAAAAAGTATTGAATTGAGCTGAAAAGGGGGGTGGAGTCAGAGTCACGTGACAGTAGGAGGAGTCTAGCTTGGGACAACAATTTTACTGCCAAATCACGATGCGCATGATAATTCTGTTTAGTGAAAAACTGTTGGACTGAATTCAAATGTTGGCCTTAAATGTTTTTTTTTTTTCTTTTTTTGGCCCACGTCAGGTTTTTTTTTTGTTTTGTTTTGTTTTTCAAAGCGATGGTACCTTTCCTGTTTGTGTTGTAAACATGTTCTAAAAATAACTTTAAGGCAGATGTACTCAGGGGAACTCCTTAGATCCAAAACTTGAAGAGACAGATGGACCATAGAACAGTCTGATGTCTTTTCTGTCTCAGAGTCAAAAAAAAAAAAATTCATAGCAGCCAGAATTGCCATGACATGAATAACTGAAAATAACACTCTTCCCATTTCCCACTTTACCCATTCTTTTCTTAAAGCCCATTTTTTTTGCAAGTCACCCATAAAGCAATCAAGCTATCCAATTAACCGTATAATCTTACATATGAAGCCAGCAGTGCAACAGCTGGTTAGAGAAGTGGTTCTCAAACTTGCGGTCAGAACATCAAAATAGGGTCCTGAAAAGATTCAGACATTTAAAAAAGACTAACTACAGGCTTTTGCCTTTGTAGAAAGAGTCAGTTTAGTGTACGTAAAATGGATAAAAATAGCATAATGATAATTGTTACTATGTTCTTGTTTGTTTGACCTGATTTGACCTGATACCAAAGTTTGTCAACCAAAAATAATTGGAGGCCTGGGTCTTTGGTACTGTTATTTTGTGGGTGAAAAGCTGAAATAATTAGGGAACCTCTGGGTTAAAATATAGCATACAACTCACTGCCCCAGTTTCACGCATACTCACCAACTCATCTCTGTGACTACCCCCAGCATCTCTGGAGCACTTTGGTCATTTCACGCATGACACAGATGTGAGAACATAACTCAGGTTCAAAGTGTCGTCTGCAAGGGGCTGAGGCTTCTTTAGCTTTTTTTCCCTCATGAATGCAGCTCCTCGCTTCATTAACGCCAGTACTGTCCTCCAGAGGTCATTTTAAAAGTGCTTATACAAAGGTGGCAGACCGTTTTAGTTACTTGCCTCTTTGCTGTAAAGTGCTTGAAATGACTCAAACAACTTGGAAGTGTGACGAATGGGAGAAGACGGCCGGCAGAGGATTGCACACAGAGGAGGTCAGTCTCTGAGTCAGCTTGTCGTTTCCTTCCTCAGGGAGCTAAACGAATGTGGGCCATCGGCTGCCTTCGGGTATGGCTGGGAAAACTTCTCACCCCCAAGACGTTTCCACAGAGCTCTCATCGTCCAACCGCACACACACAATTTATACACAAAAATGCACCCAAATTTATGTACTGTATCTCTAAGTGTGTGCGTGCTGGGGCGTGTGCGTTTGTGTCATTCTGACCACACAACTATGCAGGGAGTCATGTGGCTTGCGTCATTCTGTGGTAAATTAGAAGTCAAGCTCCAAACACATTATTTTAGTCTCTGATTACACGAGTACCAAATGATGGCTTAGTCTAAGCAACACCGAGTCTGCCTTAATGTGCCCTCTGTGATTGCACAGCGGAGGTCTTGATGATAATTATTATTTGAAGACATTGGCACAGACTGATCAGTTAATAAATGCTTAAGTTTAAGCTCATTATTTTCTTAAACTTTGCAAGCAATGCTTATGTATTTGGCAAGGCGAGTCCAGCTTTTACGTTTAATGTATATTTATGTTAACGTATTGTGACTTAGGGGAAAAACTGTTTTCAGAGGTAAAATAATTCACTTCTAAAAGTGAAACTTTCTGAAGATTTAATCTTTACTTCCTTCTCTTTTATGGATACAGTTGGCAGTTTGTTTGTTTTTTTTGCATGCAAGCAGGAACTGAAAAAGATGAAAATACTTTTGTGTGTCACAAAAAAAATCTTCAAGTTGTTCTATTTTAAAGTATAACACAACACAAACAAAACGAGACCCCAACAGCATGCATTGTGTACAGTACAGGTAGAAGAGCAGCTTCTAAATTAAAAATCCAAACCAAACCATCGTAAAAAACAAACATAAAAAAAAACTTCTTGTATATATTTTTTTCTTCTCTGGTATAATTCACCATATAATTTCAGGAGAACCAAAACTGGGTGTTGCCCTTTTTCTGGTGAAACCGCGCCACGTCGTTGGATGAAGAGGTGGGTGATGAAATACCCTGACAGAAACTATGACTATTTTTGTCAGTCAGGGGTAGTTAGGGTGGGGGGTGGGGGGCGGAAATCCTGTTGATTTATACCATCCAGTCTGTGCTTGTGTCTGTCTGTGTCTGTCTGTGTGACTCTGAGAGACCAGACCTCTCACTAACAAAACCAAAACCTGACGTAAAATATTTAGTATAATACGATGTAATATTACCTAAAAACAGCTTCACTAATCCAATGATTTGTCTTTAATAAAGGCATTCAATTCAGGAATAGTAATAATAGACAAAAATTCCGCAGTTTTGTCCTACGGAAATGTGCAACAAACATCAAACTCACCTTTGCTAAGTCTCTCCAGGTGGTAATCATGACACAAACATCAAACAATCATTTTGTTTTCCTAAATCATTACCAAGTGCTTCGACGCCCAAACCTAAACAAGTAGCATTAAATCCCAAAATCTAACCAATTACACTGAAAATGCAACCAAAACCTAATCAAATAGCCATGGACAATTAAAATAACAACATATTCTACATTTTACTAAATACAGATTTTGTGTAGGGATGCACCTATATGAAAATTTCAGCTGATATCGATATCCGATATAATTATTGTTGTTAAGGCTGATAACTAGCCTGGCCCTTGCCTTAGTTCCACTCAATTCTAGTATCCCTTCACTGCTCCGTCTTAGTGGCAGATTTTTAGCCGGGCCAATCAGAGAACAGAACATTGATTTTCTGCGCAGTGTCTCTTGTAGTTTATTTTACCTGGGTCAATCAGAGAACAGAAAGAAGAGGTTTGAACTACGTCGATGTTCTGCGCAGTGTCTGCTAGTTATTTTAGCATACGGCAGTGGAGGAAGTGAATGAAGCCAGTCTGTGTTGATAAGGCTTCCAAATTAAAATAAATTTGTCTGAAGCAGCAGCTCTCACTTACAGTCATCTTGTTTGGCTCGGTACTTTTTCTCCTCTCATTAGGGTTGTTTACAGCACACGCGATTTCTGGTTAGCTTCTTAGCTTAGCCTCCTTCCCAGTGACTCACACACACACACACACACACACACACACACAC